TGACAGATGGATGGGTGGATAGATAGATGGATGATGGATGGATGGAGAGATGGATGGATAGGTGGATTGATGGATGGATGGATGGACAAACAGTATAAACAAAAGTACGAATTAATAGCAAAATACATGCGAACTTCTGTCATTTTAATCTTACTTAAAGGTTTATTACTTAACTAGACCCCTGATGAAGGGTATCCGGACTCGTCCTCGCGGTACTGTGGTACGGACACAAGGCGCCGTCTGACCAGAACATGGAGATGAATAAAACCAACCTCAGCTATGAGCCCTTATGAGCTGATGGAAAACCCCTCAGCAATGAAGCTTAAGGCCTCCTTCGGGTTTTGATGTCTCACAGTGTAAGACCCGAACTTGGTATTATAAAATGAACGCAGAGGATAAAATCTGCAAACACCGATGCACGGTTTTCACCTAGAAACCGCGGTTTAGTCAGCACTGCTTCCCGGGATTGGAGTCAGACCAGCCCTGCTGAGTCGCGACGGGCACGCCCGCGGGACTGTTTCACGTGTGCACACGGGCAACCCCAGATCGTCTTCGGAGCATTTGGGGAGTGAACCTGAAGTGAGTTCCTCTCCGATTTTGCTCCACCAACAAGGGAGGAGCCCTGTTCCCTCAACACCATGTAGTCACGTGTGAAACGTGTGCCGGTTCCTTAAAAGGCACCGCGGGGACTGCTGGAAACACAGGCTTAGACGCCGCGCGAACCCTGTAGTCAGCCTGGGCACTTCTGTCCCGTGGGAACACGGGGCCGGAGTTGAAGACCGGCCCTCGTCCAGTCGGCCCCGTCCCTCTGGGGCCCCCGCCAGCCTGTCCCCGCTCTGCTGACCTGAGCTGGTGAGGACACATGACCAGAGGGCACAGTGGGGACACGGACTCCCTCATGACCCAAAGGCACAGTGTGGGAGCCGAGCAGGAAGCATGACCCTGGCGTCAGAGCAGAGGGGAAGATGGACAGGACACCGCTGGTGGCCGTCCCTCCCTCCGGATCACAGTCTCCCAGCGCTGCTCCTGTTCCTCCTGGCTCCTGAGCTTACCATACAGAAGCCGAGGGCTGCCACGGCCCTGCCTGCTCTCCCCATCACTCATCGCTGTCGCGGATGGGCACCTGGCCACACAGCCGCCTTCTCTGCTGAACCTGTCACGAAACCAAGCTGCCTTTCACCGACACGGTGGCCCCCGCGCGCACCACGTCAGAAAGGTTGGAACGACCTTTGCTTCCCGTCCCACGCCTCCACCATCAGACTGCCTTTTGCTGAAGTATTTGCAGAATCCCACGCATTTCTGTGCATCCCACGGAGGTCACACGAGAGCGTCTCACACTGGACCGGTGCGTCCCACGATGGCACGTCATCATTAGAAGGTGTCTGTCTTCCAAGGACTCAAGTGCAAGGACCCGGGGAGGCCCCGGCTGCCGCTGCGGACCAGGCGGCGAGGAGACGCGCACGGATGCCGCAGGCCGGGCTGTGCTCTGCGTACACGTGTGCAGACGAGTGCTTTCGGCACGTCTGGGCCGGGAGCCCGTGAAACGCTTCACCTCCCAGGTACATGCAGGCGTCCGTCCTTGTGAATCCAGTCCCTCGGGCTACCCTGGAATTAAGCCCACCTCGAGGATGAGCTGTAGAGACGGAACTCGGATTTACTTTCGCCGTCAGCGTGCACCGTGACAAGAACATGACATCGTGTAGACCTGGGCTTGGGTTCTAACATTATGCCACCTGCGTGCCCGTGTGAACACCCACTTCCTCCCGAACTTGCCGTGGCCCGGAGCCCTTCCCTGTGACACGGACAGGACCGGGCCATCCGCCGGGCTCCAGCCCCGCAGCCCCTTGGTCACGCTGTGTCCTGGGCCGGGACGGCTCCAGCGTCTCCGCTGAACCAGCCGGAGGTCAGCAGATGCTCACTGTCGGCCGGGACGCTCCAGACCCCCACCTCACGGCCAGGGGCCGTCCATCCCCGTCTGGGGCATATGGGCTGGAGGACGGTGTTCCTCCTGCCCAGGAGCTTCCTTGAGGTCGTGGGAACATGTCCTGGAGAGCCCACCGCCTGTGGCACGCTACCAAAAATTACACAGTAATCACAGCACTCCCCACAGGCGTCCACACAGGTGCACACGTGAATCTCATGGCAGAGGGCCGGCCCGCGGGGTCAGGGACAGACAAAGCTTTCTGCTGCCCCCGCCCTCCTTCTTGCAAAGAGCCAACTGCACGTAAATAACACATTTTGCAGGTGGGTGTGGAGGGGTTTATGACCCAGTGTCATGCGTCAGCGCAGGGTGGGAAGGGCCAGGTCAGAGCTCGGGGAACACAGTCCTTCACAGAAGGACGCGGAGGTCAGCGGGGTGAGACTCCCTTTCCGTGAGCCGGTGCGGCGGGCAGAAACCACACGGAGATGCTTGCGTCTTTGATTAGAAGCCCTCCTTCCTGCGGTGTGTGCGGGAGCCGAGCTGCGCTGTCCTGGCTTCTGTCTTTCATTGGCTTCATGACCGTCCAGTACTGCGATGAACAGAGCCGTGTCGGCACCTTTCGGACACTGGCTGTCGGGTTTCAGCAGGGTGATGCGCTACTACGCCAGGACTGTCGGTGTGGCTGCCCGTGGCGCGGCCTGTTCCGCCGCCTCCCCGCGCTCCCCGCGCTCCCCGCGCTCCCCGCTCTTCCTCCTGCCTCGAAGGCTGCGCGCGCTCCGTGCGCACCGCAGCCCTCACGGGTCCGTCCCAGGGCGCGTGTGCGCGATGCCGTCGGCCGCTGGTGCGGACGCGTCGCGGATGGGAACCAAACCGGCTCGATGGGCGCACGTGAGGGGACGGCCGACCTCCGGAGAGGGTTGCCCGGTGCTCTGCGCCGCGGCCCGAAATGCCCGCGGGGTTCTGCTCGTCCCTCTCCGTCCCTCGCGGCCCGTGCGGGGATGCGGTCAGCGCGTCCCGAAGGAGCGTCCCCCTGCGCACATCCTCCGCCGAGTTCCGGGCCCTCATTTCGGTGACTGTCCCAGTTTCTGAGGCTGCGGGTCTCCCTCCCATGGCCCTTGGCAGGAGCCGCACAAAGAAAACAAAAGCTGCTTTTCATGACTTCCGCTGAGCACCATTGCCCCGACGGACGGACGGACAAACCGTCTTCCTCTCTTCCCGCTGACCTTTCCCCGTGGCCTGCACAAAGCGCCAGACCCTCGTGGAACGTGGGGCGTCCGTCTACTCCCCGGAGCCCCTGGACGTGGAAGTGCCCTTCGTGGTCCCACATGCGACAGTGGAGGACACGGAGAGTGCGGTGTGGACTCTCGTGTAAAGACGCAGGCCTGCAAGTGCCCCTAAGAGCACGAGTCTGAGGCCAGATGAAGAAGGAAGGTGCCCGTTCTAAGGAGACTCAGTCCCACTCCGACGGACAGCATTGCCTCCGGGTGGACACCCACAGCTTGCAAAAGAGCCCGCGCGCCTGCATAAGTTCTCAGAACGAAGGCAGAGGGACAGAGCCTACTGTTTCTCCGAATCTGCCTTGTTTTCAGAGCTCAGAGGCCCACTCCCGGGGCAGACCGGCCCCCATCGTGAGCATAGCCCGCTGCTGGCCCGGAGCTGTCCCTGTGATGCCTACGGCCCTCATCTCGGCCTCACAGGGGAGGCGGCTCACCTCTCATAGCCCAGGCAGAGGGAAAGGGAGGAAGAGAAAAGGAAAGGGTCCGTGTTCTGCTCCCGACCGCGCCACCAGGAAAGAACATCGCTTTGTCTCTGTTTGAACGTCCACCAATGTCTGTGAGTGTGCACTTTTGTCCGTGTGTGCGTGTGTTACACGTGTGCCTGAGTGCCTGTTTCTGTGTGTGTGTATGGGAAGGTACATGTGTGTGTGTCTGAGTGTGCTCACGTGTGCCTGAGTGCCGGCTTCTTCAGTGTGCGAGTCTGATGTGTGCACGTGTGAGTGAGTGTGAACGTGTATGCATTTGCCAGTGACCTGTGGACCCCAGGGCAGGCAGAACTTGCCGTGTCGCACCGCACCCCGAGCAGCGTCCGTGACCCTCGCTGGGTCACTGGCACAGTGTGCTGCCGCTGCCCGCCCGTGACAGAGTTCTCGTGATGAAAGGAGGGGGACAGGGCTTGGCAAGGTGGAAAGGTGTGACCTGGGCATCTCCTGGCAGCTGGGGGTCACCTGTGGACAGTAGGGGAACAACAGGCGAGCTCCTCCCAGCTGTGATCGCAGCCCCTTTACGCATGTTGGGTCCCTACAGAGAAGAATCTTCATGGACAGAATCAATGAGGCTGTTTCCAGACACGGAGGGAACTTGCCTGTCTGCCCTGGATGCAGAGTGACGTAGGACGGCGGGCTCATCTACCCACGCACGGACTTGGGCTCTCTCGATTTCAGAGTATCGGGACATTATCCCCAGGATGGCACGTTTCGGAGCTGCCTGATAAACACAGCGCCCAGAAACCCCCTTTTAGATGTGGCTGTCTGATGGGGTGGCAGTGTCCGGGGTTTAATAGGGTGGGTTTGCGTGGTAAGCCGAAGGAGATCCCGCTCCTGGGAGCTGGTCTCGGTGCTGGAGGTAGTCACCTTGTGCACACGCAGGCCAGGCTTTCGCTCAGACACCTTAACCACTCACTTTCCACGCTGCGGTTCCTAGAACGTCTGAGGTCTGGACTGACTTCATGTTTAAGACACGTGCTCCCCCCCCACACACACTTGACTCTTGTGCTCTGAATGTCCCATGATTGATGGCACAGATTTGTACGATTCCAAGAGAACACAAAGCTAATCCCGTCTTGCCACCCAGCTACACCACGTGTCACGAGCGCCTTGTCGGCAGTGACGGAACGCTGTCCCCTGAATCGTCGGGACCGCGGGAAGCCTGCGGGACGGCGTGTACCACTTCGTCTCTGTGTCCGTGTACACCGCGGCAGCACCGGCGAGCACGTCCATCATAAAAAAAATCGTGAAAACCTAGTCTAGCTGACTGGTTATGGGAAAGGCCGTCTCAACCTTGTCTCTCTTCCTACCCCACAGTGCCTCGTGTTTGAAGACGCTCCCAACGGCGTGGAGGCGGCCCTCGCAGCCGGCATGCAGGTGGTCATGGTTCCAGATCGGAACCTGCACCGACGCCTGACGTCCAAGGCCACCCTGGTGCTGGATTCCCTGGAGGACTTCCAGCCCGAGCTGTTCGGTTTGCCGCCTTACGCGTGAGCGGCCCGCCCTGCCTCCCGGCCGCACGGCGCCCACTTGGCTGAACCCCGGCACCCAGGAGATCGCCACATGACCGGTCCTTCCAGCCCGTGAACTCGACCTTCTATCCCACGTGGCCTCGGTATAGTGGACCCGCGCTGACAAACCACGTCCCAGCTGAGTGACAGCCCAGCAGACACAGCCCAGGACAGGGACCGAAACGCTCATTTACATGATCCTACGCCCTGTGGGGGTGACCGTACGGTGTCGTGGCCTCGCACTAGTCATGTAAGAGTCACCTACGGCCAGCATACACACTTGCGTGACAGTGCTCGTGCATGTGTGTGTGTGTGTGCCTGCGTATGTATACATACTTACACGTATGCACGTATATGTAAAATACGTCCTTTTCCAAGACAAAACTAAATCCTCTCTGTGTTCCTTTCTTTTCCTTTTCGGTTTTTCTAAACCCTGGCTGGAAAATGTAAAATATATGTGTGTGCTTACACATATGTGTGTGTGTATGTACGTAGGTACGTATACGTTCTATTTATATCCTTCCCTTACAACGTCGCTTTTTAAAGTGTGGGTCTTAATGTGCCATAGCAGCTGACAGAAGTGAGATCATCGCTGCATTTCATTTGCAATCTGAGTGGAAACGCCATGTTGTGGACGAACACTGAGAAATCCTTCTCCTTATTAGCAAAATTGACCATCTTCTGTGCCCCCAGAACCTCTTGGTGGACCTCCACTCAGAGGCCGTGCCCCTAGAACCTCTCAGTGGACCTCCGCTCAGAGGCCGTGCCCCCAGAACCTCTCGGTGGACCTCCACTCAGAGACTGTGCCCTCAGAACCTCTCGGTGGACCTCCACCCAGAGGCCATGCCCTCAAAACCTTTCAGTGGACCTCCACTCAGCTTCTGTGCCCCTGGAACCTCTTAGTGGACCTCTGCTCAGAGGCCATGCCCCTAGAACCTCTCGGTGGACCTCCACTCAGAAGCCGTGCCCTCTGAACCTCTCGGTGGACCTCCACTCAGAGGCCGTGCCCTCAGAACCTCTCGGGGGGCCTCCGCTCAGAGGCCATGCCCCTAAAACCTCTTGGTGGACCTCCACTCAGAGATTGTAGTCTCTGAACTTCTCGGTGGACCTCCGCTCAGAGACCATGCCCCTAAAACCTCTCGGTGGACCTCCACTCAGAGGCTGTAGTCTCTGAACCTCTTGGTGAACGTCCGCTCAGAGGCCGTGCCCCTAGAACCTCTCAGTGGACTTCCACTCAGAGGTCCATTCTGCATTGTGCTGTCGGTAGTTTGTTCTCAGTAGGAAGATAACTGTGGGCTATATCTTACCTTCACCTAGGTGCATGTCCACATTTGAGGATACGGTTTCTACCTCACAAAAAACCATCCCCCTCCTTGAAAAACAGATGGTTGTCTAACACAGCCTTTGATCCAAATATAATTTGAATTCAGAATACATACTAGTGTGACCAAGAGCCTTATTAGCACATCTCTGGGATCGTTTATCCGACAACGTTACACTTTGGCAGTGAACCCCTTTTTTTACTAGATTTACTCGACCTTTTGTGGTGGGAATGTTGAGAAAAGCATTGGAATATGGGAAGAGCAGTCCCTGGGTGCACCTGCCAGCTGATGTGTCATTGTTAATGGAGCTAATTTCCAACTGGGAGTGGTAGCAAAGTCATGGTGATGAATCCAGATGTGCCCAGTGTTGGTTCTCTGTTGATGGTTCCTCTGGCTGTTGATCAGTTTTATATCTGTTCAGCAGATTTATTTCGGTATTATTGATTGTCGTGTACGCGTCTGTTCTCAGTTCTCCCTCAGACTTGTTGTAACATCTTACCGGGTCCCTCACCAGTTAATTGAGTTGAATAAAATCCTTGTTCACGTTATGTATGGGCGTTTGAGTTTACCTTCTTCTTAAAAAAATTATCCTTCAACAAATGTACAACCTAAGTGTGACTCTGTGATCTGCTTTTTTTTTTTTTTTTTTTTTTAAAGCCAAACAGCACTCACACTGTAAAATATCGTAAGGGAAACATTACTGTCTTTGTGTGCAGCAAACGAAAGATCTCTGTGAAATGAGCACTTGTTGGATTCTATATCCCCTTCTTCCAAAATATGTCTGTTTTCTAATCCTTAAGCCGTTTTGCATGAAGAACAGAAAGCGCTCTTGTGCTTCTCTCAGACACGTAGCTCTAGATCAGTGTACGCTTTCCTGTAGGGTAAATTTGATCTCAAGAACGTTGTTCTCTTGTTGTTACAACTAAGGCGAAACGCTTATTTTTTTGACCAAAGGAAAGTACTGGTGGTTAGCCAAGGTACACGTGGTCTTTCTTATTCTTCTACATCAACCTCGTTGCCCCAGTGCCTCTTTGTGATGGCCTCCCGCTAGCAGCCCATCCATTTCACAGAGGAAAAATAAGAATGCCAATTTAGACCACGATGACTCCCGCCAAGGAAGTTTGGAGAGTCTCTCTACTTTCTCCCTGCATTAAAAGTGTGCTTTCTTGGGGACGTGCTGGGATGAGTGGCGGATGCATGGTGTTGCCCTAGCGGGCAGCTAGCGTTTGCCCATCCCCTCCACCTCCTCTGGAACCATTTGGTATTGACAACAGCCCCTGAGATGTGGTACAGTCAGTCTTTTCTTAATTCCTCTTCAGTGAAACATGCACAATTTTAAGAACATACCAATGACTCCGTTTTAGGGTTTTTCCACCCGATACTCCCTCCGTTGGAATTCAGTGAGCTAACGGGGAGAGAGGAGGTCTGGAAGACCCCTGCTTTATCCCAAGGAGACCTGCCTTGTCAAGACATACGGATCGTCTCTGCCCTGCAAACAGTGGTCCGTGATTAGCCACTGAACTTCCTGTTCCTTTGGTTATATTGGTCGGACTCTAAGTTGGCCATGCTTTGGACGGTGTTACTGATTTTTGAAAACAAATTTTTACATCATAGCCCAGTTTTATCATAAAAGATACATGCATTAACTCCTCTGCTTTAAGCCGTGTACCCTCTTCTGTTCCACAGGATATAATCCCCACCCCCTTGGCCTCACATGGCGGCTTTCTGACCCAAGTCTATCCCTGGCAAAACAGAGGATTTCAGATTACGCAGAGTTCAGTTCAGATCCCAGCTGCACCACTAAAACGTTGTGTGGCCTCGTCTTGCTTCACGTCAACCTCAGATTCCTGACCTGTGAAATGCGGGTCATGCCCACTCTGGGGTGTTGGTCTGAAGAACGGACCGCCGTCACACGTGGGACGTGCACACAGAAGGGATGGTTTTGTGAATGGCACTTTACAGTCACAGTTACAGGGCCTGTGGTACTCTCCAGTAGTTCCTGTGGTTTGGAGTTACTGGGTTTACAGAGGACCTGAAAACCAGATCTTCAGGACACCTAGAACAATTCTGGTTCCTTGTGAATCTCTTTCATAGTATCTTGTGCATATCCATTAGCACTTTTCTGTCCTCCATTAGCCACAGGATATGTTTACTGGTTGTACCGTTTCGTCAGAAAAACTCCTCTGTTAATGCAGAACCAAGTAAGACCCTCTCTGAGGGTATTAACACATCTGCAGAAGGGGGGAGGTAGAAAAGGGAGGCTCACACTGAGGTCATTGGGTGGCCTCACCTGGTTTGATAGACTCTCGAATCAACGAACGTTTTCTGTGCATCTTTTGACCCACGTGGTTTCTGAAGGACTAAATAGGGACTTTTCCTGGTTCTGCACAGAGCAGCAGGGGCCTGACACAAACTTGTTCTGGAGACTGTCAGACTATCCCATTAGTATTAAGGCATTGCATGAAAGCATTGCTTTTTGTGGCCCAAAACCCACGATTGCTGAATTTTACATGTGTCTCTCCAGCATCACATATGAAATGAGTATTTTACTTTAAACGACTGGCAATTACTTACCACAATGTTAATGATATATTTCTCTAGGGCATAAAAATCTTAAAGAACTATTTGAATATCCTAATGTTTTCCAGTTTCTTCACAAGCATGAGGCCTTGGAAACATGCCATCAAATACATCAACTTGCAAAAATCCTTGTCAAAGAGACGGGGAATTCATATGTTTCACAGAGTCACTTAAAATGGCGCCTTTTCAAAATCCACTCTAGGAAAGAGAGGGTATGCATTCGATACTCAAAGTCTTACTAAATTATGGGTAGATATTTAACTAAATAGTCTTCTGAGTAAACTTGTATCATTGCTCTAGAAATCCCAGTCAACGAGTAGCCACGTCGAGTGTTTACATCGGTTTATTTGATGATGACACATTATCCCAGTTATTGGTCTAAACATGTCTGTCTCGTGAGTTTTTAAGGGTCGTCTTCACTGGATATTGAATTGTGGTTTGTAATTGTAATTTCCTCTTACCCTTTAAAGACAGTTTCTGTTATCTGACATCGTTTTAACTAAATTACCTACGTCTGAAAGCCATCTGTCTCCTTCGTTGCGCGGCTGCCAAGATTTTGTTCATGGTCTTTGGCCTTCCGAGCAATGGCTTGCTTTGTTTCAATCTTGTGTGAACGTCATACATCTCCCTGAATCTGTGGCTGGCCTTAAATATCACGAAACTCCTCAGTCATCACCCAGGCTCGCCTCTTGGGATCCCTTCCATATAACCAAACACAGAGGGCGAAGTCTTGGCAGTGCCTGTAGTCAGTGAGTCATGCCCAAGCCTGGGTTGTGCCACCAAGGAGTGGGCTCAGGGACCACACAGCTTGACTGAGCTGGCAGGATAGGTGAGAAACCAGTGCCAGCTGGGCCTTAGGGATGATTTGGAATCAGAGCACACACACCTAAACAGGATTGGGATTCTAACGTAGCCCGGAGGCCAGGCACAGTGAGAGCAGCCAGGAGAAGTCAGCCACCCAGAGTCAAGTGTACCAGTCGTCAGAATTCCAGGGAACCAAGACAGCCAAGAGCCAGGGATCTACAGATGCCCGTGTCCCTGGAGAGAACCCTTCCTTCCTTCCTTCACCTCTGCTCTGTGGGTACATGCTCTGCGTCTTCTCTGACGGCACACCCAAGACCCTCTGGGACCCCAGACAGAAGCGCTTACCTTGAGAAGAAAGGCAGAGAGCCAGGTAGTTGCTGAAAGATGGAAGAACCCATGGAAGACAT